ACACACACACACACACACACACACACACACACACACACACACACACATACACCGCCAGCCCAGGCTTCCTTCACATGGTCTTCTCACAAACTTGTGTTTGGTTGTGTTTATTGGAGCATGTGCCTATGTGTGCAGTGGGTTAATACTTGGGTCTGTCATTATTAGCTGAACATTTCTGGCAAGTTCTTGCAGTAGCAGCTTTGCCCTGTATGGAGGATGATGCACAATACTAACGATGGTGACTTGAGGCAGGAGCTTTAATGTTGATAGCATGGCTTGGGTACTGGTGCCATGGCAGAGCTGAAGAACTGGAAAGCTGAACTCTCTGACTAGTAGGTGGGCGTGGACCCTTGGCCAACTCTGTTTATCTGTTCTCTTCATGCCCAGGGGCCTTCTGGCACATGGTGGGTGCAGAGGAGGAGTCTACAAGGTAGAGAAAGGTACAACCTAAAGACCCAAATGTTTCAGCTGTCCCTTCTGTCCTCACAAATTCCTGTGAATCTTGGCAGCTAAAGACAGTGACTGCTCACCCCTAAGCAACAATTGACCTTGCACAAAAACACTGCTTCATTCTCCAAGGCTAAATAAATCATGTTGGTCTCAATTTAGTCTCTGTAGGGTCCGTGTCTATATGTGTTCCCAGCATTTGCATCCCTGTTGCTTCTAGAAGTCTGACCAGAGCCAGGATGGAAGGCAGAGCAAGCCAGGCCTAGAACCCACAAAGGCAAGAAGAAGAAACCTGATGGCTTCTGTAGCCCAAGAAGATGTCAGGCCAGGACTGTGGGTCTCAGGCCACCAGGTGACCACAGGACAGTGGATGTCCAGCCCACAGCTCCCTTGTAAGGAGTCAAGAGTTCGTCTGCTATTTTCTGTGCCTGAGTTCAAATCTCCCAAGAGTGGATATTTTCTCAAAAGTTGAACCAGCAAAGACAAGCTCACAACCCCAATCTGCAGAACATGGGAGAAGTACTCTACTTTTGATCAAGAGTCTAAAAACAACAGCCAGAGGCACAGAAGACCCTCGAAAATGTCAGATAGTTGAGGATATACAGAGCTTCTAAGATCATAATTGTGCAAATTAATGCATGAATGCCTAGGCTGAGTAGGCATAGCTGAAGAAGGGATTTGTAAACTAGAGAATAGATGGAAGAGTGGCCCAGAAGCAAGCACTGAAACGTAGGTGTGGCAGAAGGTATGGGGCAGAGACAGGGTGGATGAACAGAGGGCTCCAGCAGATCACTTGCTTGTTTTCACTCAGGAAGCAGTAAATCCTGAGCTACAAGAATGGAAAATTTAGACACTGATTGAAAACTGCAGAGCATCTCGTAGAAGAAGTAATCTTACAGTAACCCGAGGAAGTTGCCATATACTCATGGGAAGGCAGTAGACTGTCCAGAACCACAGCAGCCAGGAGCAGTGAAGTCATCCTCGAAGAGTAGAGGTGCAGTCACCTCTCAGGAGCCAGTTAAGGAGATCCCATAAGGCTGCATGGCCTCCTTAAATGTCCACAGTAAATGTGGAAAGGAGAAGGGATTTAGGAGGGTGGAAATCTGTGTTCCACCCACACTTTCCTGAACCTGCTATTAGCATTTACCTGTTTTTTAGTCCAGTGCACCTGTTGCTTGTGGTTATGTTCTAACTTTGGCTGGCTCAGGCTTGCTCTGTTTCTTTGGGGAACACTGGCTCCTGACTCACACAGGCCAGAGCTCTAAGCAAACATGTTTCTTCCTCTTTTGTTCACGTGGTCAAGACCATAGTAGTGCCAGACAGGAGCCAGTGTTGGAGCCATGCCAGGCAGGGTCTCAGGACCTCTGGCTTGAGTCTGAATATCCAGCACGCCATCACATGGCTCTGAGGTTATAATATTAAATAAGGAGACTATGTCTGGAGTGATGGCTTACCCTTTCTCGTCTCCCATAAACAATATCTCCTCAGAAGGGGATTTCAGTTGCCCTTGGCTTGACCCTTATCCAGTTCGAAGTCACTCTGGTTGATAGGAGTGGCGCCCAGCCAGGTGCTGATCTGATGAAGGCAGCTCTGAGAGGGGCACACAGGCAGAAGCCCCATGCCGGTGGGCAGGTAGCAGGCTGGCACACAAGTAATTACAGTGTACACATGCTGGTAATTGCACATTCAAAAATGATGGATGAGTGGTAGGAAGAAGTGAAGACGCGGTGTAGTTCTGAGGGGAGCCCCAGCGCAATGCCATGGCTACACACAGCTGTGGGGTAGGACATGATTAATGGATAGTATCCCACAGGGTGTTCATGGTGACTGGACAGAGCCATGGCTGGTGGGGACCTCTCCTTCCAGCAGGCACAACGCTCCGATGGAAGCCTCCTGAGGGAGCCAGGCTGCCTTCCTCCTCCTCTGCACGCGGAAGTGAACATTTCGATCCGGATGACTGCTAGCCTCTCACCTTGTAGAGTTGATCGTGCTCACTCCGAGGGTTACTTTCAGCACTGCACATTTTCCCTCACTCTGAAAAGGACTGCCAGGGGATTCAGGAGACATGTGCTCTCTGGGGAGTGTTCCTGTATCTCATGTGCCTGCAAGGCCAGGCAGCCCAAGCACTGTTCTTGCTCACAGCAGAGGCAGCTGGATATCAGAGCCAGGCTGGCACCCCTGACTGCTGGTGGTATTGGATCTTGGTCTCTGAGTGGGGCAAGGTCACACTAGGTGCTAGGGTCATTCCTGATGTTAAGAATTTACACACAACCCAGGCGCACACAGACCACCATCTTCCAGTGAGGAAAACAAGTGACTCTGTCTTCTTCTTTCTTTTCTTTAGCTCTTGGAATTTGACAAGGAGTTGTCTGTCTTTAAGGACAGACTGTATGAACTGGACATCTCATTCCCCCCCAGGTAAGGAGCCCTGCACCTGCCCAAGCAGGTAACCTTCGCAACAACCTCCTCAGGTGTGCCTGTATGTCAGTGCTGGTTTGTGCATCCATTTGCATGTGTGTGCACATGTATCTAAGTACATAACGTGTGAACATGTGTCTGTATGTATGTGCCCTATTTATATAGCACCTGTGTATGTCACTATGGCATCGCTGCAAGTCTGTCTGTCTGTCTGTCTATGTGCACCTGTTTTGTGTGCATCTGTCTACACGCATATACCCATGTGTATGAATTATACCTTCTCTTGTCTGTGAGTGATAAATGATTCTATTTTTTAAATACCCTTTTCCAATGTGAAAAAGAAAGTGTAGCTTTGCAGGCGTGGGTTTTGTGGGCAGCAGGCTGAGGATCTCTGGAAGTCTTGAGACTCATGGTTGTGTTGCTTCCCTGGGGGAGTTCTGAAGCAGATAAGTGCTCGGTGTTTCACGCTGGTGCTCCTGGAATCTTGATGTCTGCAACAATATCACTGGTTCCCTTCAGACATCCAGGGCCACAGAGTGCTGTGGTGTAAAGGAAGGGGAAAGGCCTAACAGGAAATAGTGTGTGGTGTGTAGTGGACCTCAATTGCAGGATTACCCACCATCCTTTGCATCTGTGCTTTGCCTCTTGGCCTTTGCATCTTCCTGGAAGCAGTGTACAGAAGGTGGCTCCTGACGACAAGGGATAGTTGTAGGTACAAGCCTCCAGTAGCTGTGGGTATTTCTCCTCCCAAGGAATACCCTTTAGCTGTGTCAGATCCCAAGTCTAGTGACCTAAAGCAGTGAGGAGACTTTCCACCAAACTGAGTTATACCATCAACTTGATTTGTTGGTGCCTGTTTTACAGCTGTCTCGGGGGAAGTACTAGGAATCTTTTCCTCAGCATGAGAGTCCGACAGTAAATGTGTCTGTCTTTTATCCTCTCTGCTAGTATCGCCCCATTTCTGTGCCAGATGGTCAAATGTGGCAGCAGGGGAGACCCACTCCTGCACAAAACTAGACTTCTATGGTTCTTTCCTTTTCAGCTGTCCACCCATACCGCCCTAGGAGATTAAGGTGAGGGGCCTTGATAGAGTTTCAGGGATGGAGAAATGGGGGCCGTGGGCCCTAGTAACTCCCAGACATTTGTTTAGTGTTCAGGCCAACATGTTGGACACTTACATACTGGCTCCAAGCAGCAGTGCTCATGAGACTCTGACCAGAGTACCTGGCCTGCAGCACAAGGCAGCAGTAACCAGCAGAACCCTGGATCACACTCATGAGCAACAAAGTGACTTTCTAAGTACATCCTGCCAAGCATTGAGGATGCTCTTACCCTCATGTGGCTCTCTGACACTGAATACCCCCAGTGGATTATGGGTATTAGTGGAAATGTAACACATGAATAATGAAATGGGACCCATATGACCAAGAGCTAAGAGGCCCAGCGTCTAAGTGAGATGGAGACATGCCTGCCCCCTCAAGACTTGTGGACTGAGTTTTCACATTGTCTGAGATTTTTCTCTCAGTGTTGCAGTCTTGAAAGCCACCTGCACACCAAAGGTACAGGGCAGGACCTAGCCAGGCTGAAAATGCAGAGGACCTTGTTGTCTAAGCCTGAGCAGCTAAGAGAGAGCCCCTAACACACATGGCAACCGAAAGACCTGCTTTCCCCACCTGGCAGGTGTTATCTCTCACAGGGTTGAAGACATCTTGACACATGAACATGTTCTAGTCAATTGAATGTTGTGTTATCAAGAAGAGGCCCTGCATGATGACCCAGCACCTGGAGCTCCAAGCCTCCCAGGAAGGTGACTTTGAAGGTCTCTGAAGACCCATTCCCTCTAGACTGCTTGTTGGGGATACATTCCCCGGACTTGGGAGCAGAGGCAGCAGTGGATTTTTAAGGCAGACTCTCTTGCACAAACAGGAAGGGACATAAGAGCCATCTCCGTGTTCAGAGATGTCTGGAAAGGGGTGTGTGCAGCACAGGGCTCAGGAGCACCACTCGGCGGTTGGTTAACACAGCAGAGAGTGCCAGAGTACCCTGAGATGACCATACTCCTCTTACTTCAGAACTGAGTTTCTTTTGTGATTCACCATAGGGGGTGTTCTGAGGCAACAGAGGAAAGTGCCCACAAAAGAGCGTAGCATCCTGGGGGTGGAGGTGGGGCCAAGTGAATGATGAGCCCTCTTCATCATACTGGCCTGGAAGATAAAGACAGCCTTAACCTAATAGCCATCCAATGGAAGGCCAACAATGAAATGGGACCCGTATGCTGTTAATCCTAATGTGCACACTGAGCACATGGGGGGAGGGGGGGGCGTCACCAGGCACTTGTTGGCTCATTTTACAGATATTTCTCTTCATATAGAAATAGCATTCAAGTTTTTAAGATGGATAGGGAAAGAGGGGAGATGTTCCAGACTGAACTGCTATGTCCAATATCTGGACAGGCCTCTCCAATTATAGCATGCATCTCTGGCATGGGCTTCAACAAAAGCCTCCTGAAGCCTGTCCTCACAACTCAGGGTGTATGCAATGTCCTCCACTGCCATTTCCTGGGACACTGGTGATACCTCTCACTGCCCAGGAAGCACTGATGTTTCTTCCCCAGTTGGTTCAGCTGTTTTTTAAAACTGATAAGCTGAGAAAGGTGGCACAGGACTGTAATCTCAGCTACATGGGCCGATAGGGAGGTGGTGGCTACCCTGGAGTATACACGGAGACCCTGTCTCAAAAAAACCTCAAAGCATCACACAGTTCATAGTCCCTGCTGCGCTGTCGTGTGTGGTTTGGAGAGCTGTTCCACGGGAAAGGAGTAAGCAAGAGTGTAAGCTGGGAGAGGGCTGGGGATTGAAGTGGTGGTGTGTGGCCCGCTAAGTACCAGATACATTCTTAGACTCTAAAGAAATAGACAGTCTCGGCTGGCATGAGGGTGCACACCTGTAATCCCAGTAGTCATGAGGCAGAGGCAGTCTGTTTCCTAAGTTTGAGGCCAGCCAGGGCTACCCAATGACATAGTGAGACTCTGTCTTAAAAAAACAAAACAGCTATCCAGCTAGCCTTAGGCATACTGTCTGCACAAAAAATAGGTGTGTGTGTGTGTGTGTGTGTGTGAGCGCATGCATGTTTGTGGGTAAGCATGGGTGGTGATGTGTGCAGAGAAATCACTGGTATTCATATTTACCTGTACATGTGCATCTGCGCACTTTGTGGCCCTGAATATGTAGTGTGCAGGATGTATATGACGAACTATTTGTATACATGTGTGTGGTATAGTGTATGCGTATATAGGATGTCCACATGTGCAAGGACATGTCCCTTTGTGCCAGAACATGTGCACCCCTGTGTTTATACATACGCACATGTCAGTGCATATGTGTACTTTCAGGCCCCGTGTATAGATGTGCACATGTGTGCGTGGGTGTGTAAATTGTGGGCATGCATATATGAAAAACCATGTTTTCCAGGAAGTCATGAATGTGCAGGTATGTGAGTAGACACGTGTATAAGTGAGTACCGTTGTATGTGTGCACACCTGCTAATAAAGCAGTCTTTCACTGATGGCCACACTGGAGCTGGCTATTTTCAGACTATATTTCCAGAACTCACTCCACTTGGAGCAAAGAAGTGGGCCACAAAGATGCTGCCCAGGGAACATGAGAACATGAGCCTTGCTGTCGCCCTGCTCCACAGGCAGGAGGCTGTGCCATAGCCTGAGCACTGTGGTATCTGGGGAAGCTTTCAGATGAGCTGGGAGAAGCCTTCCTGGAAGACAGCAGTGTCTCTCCCATCTTAGGTTTCTTTCTGCCTGAACCTCCTCACCTGGTATGACAGGCAAGCATATGGGAAGGCCATGATAACTCTACCACCACACACTTTGGACCCATGAAGGAAGCCCTGGGACCTCCTCAGAACTGTACCCTCTTGTTGAAGATAGAGTTCTACCTCTTAGGCCCAAAGTCTGACCGTTGGACAACTACCCTGACCCCCTCCTCAGGATTCTTGCATTCCCATTACCAAGATGCCTAGATGGTGGAGTGAATCTAAAGTACTCATGCTTGCTCTACTGACCTAAGAGCCACTATGGGTGAGTGACACTGCTCACTTTCAAAGCAGCTCCTGAGGTCTAGAACTCCCATCTTGATTTTGTTTCTCTATGGCTAGGAACCTGTGTGAGGCTTGCTGGCCATTTGAGGTGAGGCTATGCTCATGCAGAACAATGTTCCTGAGTACCCAGGTTGCATGTGTCAGAAACCAGGCAGCTTCTGTTCATCTCTGAGGGCACAGGCCACACTGGATAGGCAGGAAGTCTCCACAGAACATGCAACCCTGCCCACCACCCAGGGTTCTGCCTTACTTACCTCATGGAGTTCGTTTTCACTTCCACTTTCCAAGATCTTTCTATATTTTAAGGAACCTAACCTCTACCACCTGGATTCTGGGGTCAAATTCAGGTTTCCAGTCTTGGTGACATGTATATTTACATACCGATCTTGCTGGTCTTTAAGTATTTATGACTTTATTGTAATAATAATAATAATAATAATAATAATAATAATAAACAACTCATTACATGTTAGCTAAGTAGCACTGTAATGAAAAAAAAATTCCAAGCAAAAATAAAGTTAAAAGAACAGCAACCTCTAACATTTATGACTTTACTTAGAAGTTTGACTAGACAAGTGACAGATATATGTCAGGCAGGTGTACAGGGAAAACCCTCTCCCCTGGCTGTGGATACGTTGCTTTTCTCTCTGCTGACTTGTAGAAGGAGCAGTTACCTGTCACCTCACCACAATGCTATATTGAGAACCTATTCTGGGCTCTGAGTGGACCTGGCCCATGGTGTTTGGTGGGTGCTGAGTGGAGCAGGAGTTAGACATCACTCCAAAGCACATGGCACCTTCATCAGAACACATAGACCTCAGCAGACATGTCCTCATACACAATGTCCCATTGAGCACGTGAATTTTGTGGTTAGCCACTAACACCATCACATCCAATCCCAGAAAGACAGCTCTTTTTGTGCTTTCTTGAGCGGAATTTACCTGTCAGCCTGCCTCAGGAGTGGTATTGTCCAGACACAGGCAGCTGTACAGGTGTACAGCACTGGCCTGAGATGCCACCTGCCTGGCCTGGGGCATGAAGTGCTTGGATACTCACTTCTTACATCTTTTATTCTGAGGAACCATGTTTTCCAGGACTGGGGTTTGGGAGGGCAATTGTTTATCCTATGCAAGTGTCTGTCCCTGCTGTGAATGTGGCACTGAAGGTGATGCTACAGAGCCCTGGTTCTTGCCCAGGAAACCTTGGCTTTTTTAGTAGTAACCTTTGCCTCATCAGTGCAGAATCAGCACCATGGAAACCACTATCATCTTGGTCCCATTATGAATGGTTTTACCTCTTGGATCTTGGAAGGATCTAGAATTCCCTTACCCAGAGGCTCACACACCAAACTCCAAGAAGTAGCCCCAAAGCAGCAATGACCAAAATGCCCGTGAGTTGTGGAATAGACATTTGGAGCACAAAAGCACAGATACTTCCAGGCCCTGAGAACAAATCCACAATCAGAGTATAGGTGAGGCAGCCAATATGAAGTGGACCCTTTGAGATCCTATGTGCACTTCACCACAGGCCAGCCCTACTGAAGCGCCAGATTAGTATCTTCCATCTTCAGTGGGATCTGTTGATGAATTTCTGTCCTGTGTGCACTTTGCCCAATCCAAACCTTAACTTAGAAGGGGCAGTTTAAGCTCTCGACAGATTAGAACCTTTGGAGCACACAGTCAGGGAACACTGAATGCGAAGAGCTCGCCTCTCAGCAGTGAACAGGTCGCAGACGAGCAATATTTTTAAATGGCGCACATGTTTATACCATGGATGTTTCACCTCCAGCAAGTTCAGCATTCAAAGCAGCACTGGCCACATTTGCCAAAAATCCAGAAACAGGACTTATATCCCTGGCTTGGAACCCAGACTGGTCTCTCACTAGGTCCTGATTGCACAGAGTCTGCAGAGCACGGGGACAGTCAGTGAACCAGTGGGCAAAGAATCCATGCCTACAAGCTGTGGTCATCTGACAGCCATCATAAGCAAGCTGCCCCTGAAGCCATAGCAAAGAGAGCCAGGGCAGGCTCCAGCCTCACACTTCCAGCAGCCAAGATACTCCTGGGCACCTCAGCCACTTGGGCCGTCTACTTAAGCATTTCAGAATTACCATGATCCTGGTGTTCCGTTTCCTTTCTGTGGCTTTAGTCTCACCCCTCCCTCTTCAGACATTGCAAAAGCAGCTGGTATCTTTGGAACCTAGTGTCTGTTCATTGTGTCTCTAGACCTTAGTGCATATAGATGTGTCTCCAGTGGAACTCCTTCTGTGCCAAGACTAAGTTTCCCTTGATGCCATGCCTTTGATGTACCATGCACAGCAACATTAAAAGCAGTGTGGGTCTGAGACAGGTGACCTTTCACCAGGTGAAAGCAGAGAGGCCCCTGCCTGGCATAGTGGGGTTCAGCCCGTCTATTCTCCCCATTCTGAGGACAGCCTTGGTCTTTCCTAAAGACCTTCTTTAGCTTGTTCTACCGTGGCCCAAGAAGGCCATGAACTGAAGCAAAGATGTGAATCACACTGGCTTCCTCTCCCCACCACCCTAGGCCTGCACCCTAGGACTCTCAAACACAACAGGCTTTGTGTTTCCCACAGTGTGGTAATGGGGACCATGGCAACACTATCCAAGCCTAGCCCGCCCAGATCTTGAGCCTAGGCTGCAAGCAAACAGCCAGCAAAGGGCCGCTGCCCACATCCTGACCGAGTTTGAGGGGCAAAGAGGAAGGGAGGCTGTGTGGAGCCAGCACAGGTGGGCAATTGTTAATTTTATCAGTACTGCGATTAATTATGACGGTTATTCCCAGAGCTGTACAGAGCCGAGATAGGGCTGCTTTGCCCCACCTCCCACCCCTTTAGGGTTTGTTTCCAGATAAGTCCTCATGCACAACCTTGCTAGCATTAATCATCTACATGCAGCCACATCCAGGCCTTGTACTCAGCTGAGCAGCCCCGCAGTAGAAGCTGGAATGGCTACGCACCCCGTGCTGGCCTCCCCAGGCCTGCCCGGATCAGAAATTCCTGATTTTGTATTGTGGGTATTGGATAGCACCTCAGGCTGTGAAGCTGAGGTGACTCCTGCTTACTCTGCAGCAGCAGCCAGAGTTTGCCCTGAGTCACACAGGGTCCAAGGGAAGATGGGGCCCAGAACCTTTTAAGTGTAGTAATGGGAGGTGCACAGTTCCTGTCTGTCCAGCTGTTCTCTCTTAACTCATCCAGGAGCCTAGTCCAATCAGTGACTGCCTGCAGGTCCTGCCCCTGGTGACAGAAGGGTTCTTCTTGCCTTCTAACCAGTCTTGCTTCATAGGTCCACACAAGCTCTCCTGGTATTCACTGTGCCTGGGAGACAGAACTCCCACATCTACAGACTCACTGGGAAGTCACCTACAACGCTCAGACCCAGCACGTGTTTCCACTAGACGCTGGTCCGGGGCTACCAGTAACGCACCCAACAAGATCTCTAGGACAGTAGGATCTCCAGGGACGTGGTTAAGAACCATGTCAGGGCTGCTGTCAGATATGAGGTGATGGCTGATAGCTTTGAGATAAAAGTAAAAGAATTAGAAATATAGTAGAGCCACCCAATTTTTCACAATAGGCAGCCCCTCCATGGGACTGAGGGTGGACAGAAGACACTGACGTCGTTCACCATAGTTAAGATCATAAAAGGTGCACCTTGTGGTAAGGTCCCTAAGATAAGTGCACTTGCATTAGTGATCAGAAGGCTGCCAGGAGCCATGTGGGGAGCTATGTACTAGAGCATGCTAAGTACAAGATCTGCACACTTTCAATCCCAACACAGGAGAACTAGAGGCAGGAGGATGAGGAGTTCAAGGTCAAGCTTGGCTACACAGTTTAAGGGAAGCCTGGGATACAGGAGACCCTATCTCAAAAACAACCCCTCCCCCCCAAAAAAAAGACCCCCAAAAAAACAAAACTAAGAGCCTGTGAGATGACAGAGCGGGTAAGAGCACTTGCCACCAAGCCTGGTGACCTGGATTCCATCCCCAGGACCAGGGTGATGGAAAGAGAGAACCAACTCTTACAAGTTGTCTTCTGCCCTACACACACCATGGCGCACACCTGCCCTATAATAATACACGCACTTTTAGTTTGCTTTTTTTTTTTTTTTTTTTTTTTTTTTAACCAAGAGTATGCTCTGTTCTGTCCTGTTCCCAAGTTGGCCCCTCCCAGTGATGCTTTTTAAGTTGGGCCTCACTGGGCTACTGTTGTGCATTTAGCTGAACACCTAACCTCTCATCTGAAGACAGTACCAAGGCCAGACTATGGCAGTAGGCACAAGCAACGCCACTCTGCCTACTGAGGTCTCACTCCTGAGCCCACATAGCCCATGTAAAAGAACCAGCTGGCCAGAACCCTGCTGGACCACTGGGATTGCCAGTAGGTGAGTATTCTGTGTGTGAGTTGGGGGAAGAGCTCTTGAGTCAAGGCAGCCTGTGCCTGGTCAAAGCAGCCAGCTTCCTATTCCAACAGAACCATAGAGGAGGATTGAACCATATCGCCCTGTGGCTTGCTCAGCCCCACTGTACCTGAGCCCTTGCTTTTCTCATTAGCCTTCATCACACTGGTTTTACTCACTGTGGGGCTTTCTCCCTTTGAAAGAGACTGCCATGTTTGTTCACCATCATGGAAGACAGGAAGACCTTGTGGTCCCACCTTGCAGTTCATGGCACAGCTCAGAGTGGCCATGTTAACATGTATGTGCCCAGTGAGATGCTTCCTGACTCACAACCCATTGGGTGAACTGAGGAGTGTTTGAACAAGGTCATTGTCACTGTGATATACAGAAATGAGATTGGCCATTGGACTTTTGCTTTTTCTGAAAAGGAGGCAGGAAATTTTTTCATTCTTTAAAATGATAATGCTACGTGAAGGAATTACACAGATTTTACTTTTAGCCCAACTTGAGGTAAATTTAACCAGGAAAAGAGGTAATCTACAAGCGGCATGGGTCACAAGCCATGGTTTCTGCAAACACACTTCATGTGGCATCGGCCAGCTTTAGATGGTTGAGGTCTAGGGAGATACTAGGCCCCCAGCTCCCTTAGGGCAGTGGGATTAGGACCAGGCCTGCTGGTGGTGTTAGCCCCTTCCCATAGTTGCCAGCTGATAGGTGGCCTGACCACCACTGGCTGGAAAGTCAGTCACCTTCTCTCTCAGCTGAAGTTGACCAACAGGAACATTTGAGCATAAACATGGCACTCTGGAGTTGACCCGAGAAAACACATTGCACTTTGAAAGAGAGTCTTTATGCTCTGAAAACCATGTACAGTGTGGACATGCAAACACCTGGGCCAGCCAAATCTGGGAAAAGGCTCTTCTTCAGCCAGTTCTACATAGGATGCATTGTGCAGCGCAGTCCTGCACGTGTGCCCGTGTGTGGTGGGGTTATTGTTTTACAAGGATGGTGAGTTGGTAGGTCCCCTGGGATGGCAGGTACAGGGGGCCTGCTTGTGAGAGGCAGGCCTCTCCACAGCTCAGGCTGTGAGTGCAGAGGCCTCGGTGTGAGTCAGGGGGTATATATAGGAACCAGCCAGCCTTACCCATGCAATATACAGGTACATGCAGAACTAATTTTGATGGGGACACTTGGGTTTCAAGTTTGGCTTTATATTCAAGAAAACTCTCTGTGTGCGTTCTTTCCTGGATAGTAGCACACCCTTCCTTCCAGAGCTCAGACGACTTCTAGAACCAGAGCGTAGTAGACATTCTGTTCCTATGTCTCCACAGCTACCCCTACAGTGAGGACTCCAGCCAGGGAGAGCAGTACATGAACACGAGATGCCCTGCTTGGTGTGACCGCATCCTCATGTCCCTGTCTGCCAAGGAGCTGGTTCTTAAGGTAGGAGGGAGAGCTGGGCTAGCCAGGGAGAGGGACCACTCAGCCTGAGGACACTTGAGTAGAACCAGTTGATTGAAAGATGAGTGGAAGAGAAGTGCTTAGTCATCACCTCTCAGCTAGCACTCGGGTGCGGGCAGGTGCCACTGTTATCTTATTAGAAGCATAAAGCCCCTGGTCACCACAGAGTCTAACATGTAATTTATTGTGTGGTGTTCTGTTTTTCTGTGGGGGTTTATGGGAGCACCAACAGCTTATGTACAGCAAAAATAGTTTACAACTGGGCCCAGCAGGGTCAGGGTGAAGAGGTGATGTGCAGATAGGGAGGGTTTTCAGATTTCCTATTTTCAGTTTCCATATTTTATATATAAATTGCATGTTTTGAAAAGCACCAGTATGTGAATTGCCTCTCAGCTCCATCCATGCAGATCTAACAGTGAAAAGGGTAGACTCATGCAGGGACAGCCGTTGGAAAGGTGCATGTAGAGGCACAGTCAGATTGAGGTGTGGGTCCTTGGTGAGGAGGACGTGGGAGAGGTGCCTACAGTGGGCTGAGGATGTGTGCTGTGCTGCCCCATCCCTCCTGCTGGAATCCTGTGCTGGAGAGGGAGGAGCTCCTTTCGTGGATTCCCTCCTTCACCGTGCCCCTTGATTGCACCATAGTCTCCATGAGCTGCTGCGAGCTGTCTCTGTGTGAAACACCCATACACACACTTGCGGTCCTCAGGAAACTTTCCCCAGCTTGTGGGATAGCCTTGTCGTCCTCTACCTGAGGCTCTGCTGGTCCTCACTGTATAGCTGCTGTTCCCCCAGATACTAGGTTTTCCATGACTCCTGTGCTCCAGAGCATGGTGTGTGCAGCTGTTGTTCTGGCTCTGGCCATGGACAGTTTTCAGGCAGTGATGCCAGAACCAAAGAAGGGTGTTGGCCAGAAGCCCCTTGGGTCTGCAGTAGCCTTTGGCACACAGTCCTACTTTCTAGCTTTATGGACAGAGCATGTGCTCCAGTGTGATGCCATCTCTGAGGAAAACCCCACTCAGGACCCTGAAGCTACATTATCTGTGACCTGCCCTACTCATCAGCTTTGAGATAAAAGTAAAAGAATTAGAAATATAGTAGAGCCACCCAATTTTTCACAATAGGCAGCCCCTCCATGGGACTGAGGGTGGACAGAAGACACTGACGTCATTCACCACAGTTAAGATCATAAAAGGTGCACCTTGTGGTAAGGTCCCTAAGATAAGTGCACTTGCATTAGTGATCAGAAGGCTGCCAGGAGCCATGTGGGGAGCTATGTACAGCTCCTGGAAGGCAAGTGGAGCCTGTTTGCACACACATCTCAGGGTCTCCGACACAGGATTCATACCTCAAATCCACAGTGGCAGACCAAGCCCTGCCCTTTATCCACACCCGAGAATAAAGCCTTTAGGTTTTCTGCCTGCAGGCACTGGAGTCTCTGGGGCCCCGCAGTAAGCCACCCCCAGAATGCCTCAGGCTGCCTCCCTGGTACCATCCATCATGCCATGCGCTGGTGCCCTCATCATGTTCTGTTCTGCTTCCTTAGTCCTCAAACGCCAAGGCGGCGGGGTGCCTGGGAGCCTCGGTGACAAATGCTCAGTGAGGTGTGCCTGCGTCCTGTCTGAGCCCCTCTGTAATTTGTTTATCTGTCCAAAGATTATGCAGCTGAAAACCCACGATTTTATGCTGCCTTTGTAAATTACCATGCAGCATTTGATGGATGTCTCCCCACTTCCGGGGAGTCGGACACATGCTCCTGAAAGATGGGCAAGTGTTCATGCCTGCGGTGCTGAAGGTTATGTTTTCCTACTTTCTGTCAGGCGACCATGCTGGGAAGTAAATCTGACCTTAAGCTTCCTACTGCATTAAAGATAAGTCAGTTTTAACTTTATCGTTGTAGATGCTTCAGCTGCGGGTGTGAAACTCCAGGCTGCTCAGAGTTGACTGACTGATTAGCATTGACAAAACCTCTGCCTTTCAACCCAAAGTCAAGGGTCTGCCAGGAAGTTCGTGGAGCTGTTAATTAATATGCATACGTGGCCTTGGACATCATGCTCTAGGTTAATAAAGCAGGCTTTTAGAAGCAAGTGGAAATAGGGGAGACGGGAAACAGATGAACTTAAGGGTACACCCTTAACAAGGACAGAGTGTCACTAATTTCGGAACTAGGGCTCTGTGCTAGCAGACAGGCAGGCGATACCTGGGGGAGTCCTGACCCCTCGGCTGACCTGGCCCCTGTCCTCTAGAAGCAGAAGAGCCAAGCACATGCTGAGCTATAGCAAGGCCACCAGGCCTTCCTGCAACCTCTGATCCCCTGAAGCCCCTGCCTGTTCCCTCCTGGCAGGACTGCAGATTGCCTCAGCCTTCCTACACACCCCCTCTCTCTCTTTGCTTCCAGTCAGAGAGCGAGGAGAAGGTTGCCACCTACGACCACATTGGGCCTAATGTCTGCATGGGAGATCACAAGGTGATGTATGCAGTGTGTGGCTGGGGCCCTGTGGGTGGGGGCACCATCTCCTTTAGTCTGGCTTTCCCAAGCAAGCAAAGTTTATCTGAGTTAATTTAGTTCAATAAACTACCAAAGGATGGGTGGAGAGTAAGCAGAAGAAATGATCAGTCGTAACAGAAGATAATCTCCCTGTGTGTAAGACCTGTCGTCAGCTGGTTATGGTTGAAGGCTGCTTCTTGAGTATACGTTGGGACTGTGTTCCTGGCCATCTATGCTGAACTCACATCTGTCAGAGTGTGGTAATGCGTGTCTCACAGACCAGGTATACACTGACCATCCTCACACACTTCCCGTGTGACTGCCCCTGAACCCAGGAGTGGCCTACAGTCCCCAGTTACTGAGTCCATGTGACAAGTCTCAGACAAATTAGATAAGGCTACATCTTCCACATCCAAGGGCTCTGAGCCAGGGACACTGCATACCTAGTCCTGGGTGCTCCCAGCTCCAGGCTAACTGTCTCAATCTGTACTTTGCACACGAGACTGGCCTTCACCTCCTCTGACTCAGTTCCAGATGCTCAGGAAATGTGAGGGCCCCAAGTTCAGGCGCTTTAGGCCTCAGAGTGTGCACGCTGACCTCCCCCTTTTCTCCCACTGCAGCCGGTGTTCCTGGCCTTCCGAATCGCACCCGGGGCAGGTAAACCTCATGCCCATGTGCACAAGTGTTGTGTCGTGCAGTGACGTGGTGGTAAATATGGCTCCTCCTTGCTCTCCTTTCTGCAGCTTTCCTGGTGTCTTTGATCCTTTAACAAATTACTAATTCCACTCCAGGGAAGAGGTGCCAGCGCCATGAGAGGATCCTCGAGAGACCTCCCTGTAGCAGTGTATCGAACTCATCCTCCTAACAGCTGCATCGGAACCCGCCCAAGCGTCACCTGCTAGACGGCCGGCCCCACACTTCGCTTCAGCCTCCGGACCTCCGGAAAGCCTCACATACCTCACTGTCGTGTCTGTCACGTGACATTGTAGACATATTGGGTTTAATCAAGCCACAGTCCTATTGCCAAAACTCTAACAGACAGCAGAGCGCCTGTGTTTTAGACTTCACAGTTTTCCATTTTTAACGATTGTCTGTGGAGGAAGCTTCTCCATTTAGAGCCCCAGCTGTCCAGCGTCCCTCTCTGCCAGGAGGAGTGTGCCAGGCACTAGCCCAGGCGGCACGGCTGCCATGTGCGCTCAAGCCCGAGGCCCGAGGTCTGACTCTACTGCCATGTTACATGGCGTCTGAATCACACTGCAGCTGCTTTCCATTTTTATATATATAAATACATATAAATATATACTTTTTAAAAATAATTTATAAATCTTACCAAAACTTATGCTGAATATACTTTCCAGTATGAGTGCACGAGTGTCCTAAGCAGGCAGAACTGAAGTCTAGTTGAATGGCGAGTCCATCAGCAGTCAGCACCGGTTCCTGAGACAAGATCTAGCCTGTGCCCAGGGGCGAGGGGCCCCTGCGACATGCCTGTACTAGCAGCTTGTCACTCTTCTGCCTTTTTCTGTGTAATATTAAGAACTGAATGTGAAGTTTATAGCTAGGCTGGGTGTACCTTTTAAGAATTTTGTAAAACGTTTTGTCTGTCTTTTGTTACCGTTTTATGGTGCCAAGTATCCTACATTAAAACCATAATCTTGTGGGAGAATTAGAAGTAGCCTCGTCCACTTCCCACAGATTGCTTCTAGCATGGGCTGTGTGTAAACGTGGCAGAGAAGCGACGGGTGATGCTGGGCACAGCCTGTTGCCCTTACTCGCACCCAGCACTGAGTACCACGGAAGGCGCCTGCTGAGGAAACACAGCGTGCTTTTATTGATTTACTTCTGAACACTACAGTTCCTGGATGGGGCGGAGGCGCGGAGTTAATGTCGGTTTCCCTAGAAATCCCTGAAGGCCGGCCTGTGTCTTTGATGCCAGGGTCGGGTCTGTGACTGCCATGGTCGCTGCTTGCCAATGCGCCATGTCCGCAGCGGTTGTCTGTGGGTTCCAGCTGTGGGTCCTTCCTCCGAGGGCCTCTGGAAGTGACTGCTCGGTTCCTAAGCAATAAAATTGATCATGGTGAAAACAGCTCCTGCTGCTTTGTCTGCCTGCTTCACTCTCCCATGCCTTTGAAATGCTAAGTGCCAGGGGCGGGCTCCTTTGTGCCCTGTTTGCTCTCCCCCACTCTGATTCTGGGAATTTCAGAGTCCCATTCTGCCACAGGGCACCAAGCCCTCCAGAAAAAAAAAAAAAAAATCACCTCTTGAACTTTTTTACTGTAGCAAAAAAAGGCTGGTCCCTCACTCTTTCAGATGGAATTATACACGTTTTTCTTTTGCTTTGCACAAAACCGTTATCAAAATTTCTCTGCTCTGAACTTTGGCTGAGAAACAACACACTGTCTCATTTAAAATGGGGAAAAAAAAATATTGCTTCCTTTTAAAGAAAGTCAGCCAGTGGCTCAAAAGAAGCATTTGACTTTGGTGACAGAGCCACAGCACAATAGGCAAAACAAGACATTAAGCTTTTCATGGTTCTAACAAATATTTTTAAAGGCCCCACAAAAAAAAAAAAAAAAGCTAATCTTGTTGGGATTAGCTCCTGTTACCGCTTACTGTCAGTGCTCTAAGGTGCATCTGAGGAGTGTGAGATGGTGTGTGGTGTTGCATGAGGCTGAAGATGGGTTTTTGTTATACAGGGAATGGTAGCCCTGAAGCCCTAGGGTGGAGAGGGCACCAGGCTCTTACCTGGCTGGCCATGAACCACTGGTCTCAGCCGCGGATCTAGCTCAGGTGGTAGTGACCCTGGCTGAGGGCCCTCCTGTCAGCCCTCTGAGAAACCAGTGGGGGGTGTCAGGGCTGAAGACTGAGAGCTGCTTCAGCGGGGATTCTCATTTCTGCAACACCCCTCCCCCTTAAAAAACATGCTTTATCTGTTTAGACTGATCTTCTGGGGCTGCTGCTGCAGTTTAGTAATTATATTCAAAATATTTGGAATTCTGGGTAAACTAATTATTTCAAAACACCTGTTGTGACAGAACACTGCCTAAGCTGAGACAGTCCTGATTTGGCCGAAACCAGGACATGGGCAGTGACGAACAGGGCACACTCAATTGCCCCGGGTTGAAAACAAACAACAACAAAAAAGAAATATTAAAAAACAAAAACAAAAAACTAGTGCGAGGGTGCCAGCTGCTTGCGATGGGGACAGAGCCTTACTGGATTCTGGGCACCCCTTCTAATAGGTTTTAATGGCTGCCCCAGCTTCATTCATTCGAATCAAGGGCCACCCAGCGTGTTACATCCCCGGGCGCACTGCGGCGGGTGCCGTGCCTCTGGCCACAGGAAATGAAAATCATACCTGCTTGGGGGTCTCTTCCGAGTTCACTGCTGGTTCCGGCTCCTTCAAGCACTGCGCTGCGCTGCCGTTCCCTTCCCGGGGCGGCGGAAGCTGCCTTCCCTCGGCCTGGGCTCCGGATGCTCAGCCTCATCGCCTCTGCGCTCCTGCAAGCTGCCATCACCGTGCGCTCTGGGACCACGCGCTCGGCCTCTGAACCGAACGCGCACACGGGCCCCGGGTCGTCATGAAGCACTGTCGCGCCCCCCTGCGCCAGGCTCTGGCGCCCGCGGGGAGAACAGGCAAAGTGGGGTCCGGAGGGTCCTGCCACCAGCCCGCTCGCTGGCGCCAGCTCCGTACGGGAAGAAACACGATGTGCAGCCTTGGGAGCCACGGCTCCGACGGGGACTTGTTAAATAATTTATTGATTATACAAAGTGACCGGCCCAAACCCCGCACTCCGCACCTCACGCCGGGGCCGCGCCAACGTCCGCTTTATAACTTATTCTGTAAAAATATATATATACACACTGCAGCTGGGCGGCTGGCGTCGGGGCAGGCCGCGCGCCCCGGTTCCCGGGTTCTCTGGCCTGGCCGCGTCCTCACAAGGCGTCCCCCGCGCCGCCGCCGCACGGGCTAACCAGCGCCAAGTTCGAGGGTTTGTGCTTTTTGAGAAGCCGTGTGATCTTCTCGTCGTCGGAGTTGGGGTCCAGGGGCCGGTTGTACTCGTCATCGTCCTCCGCGTCAGAGCCACCCACCTTCAGCTTCTCGGCATCCGAGTCCTGCTTCTTTTTAGCCGACGCCATCTCCGCCGCGTGCCGCTTGCGCCACTTGGTTCGCCGATTCTGGAACCATACCTGGGGAAGGGGGGCGGGGGAGAGAAGGGGTTGGAGAGGGATCGGCAGGCGGGCCCCGGGGCTCGCCGCGCCCGGCCAGCACTCCGGGACCGTCTGGCACCAGAACATTCCCCGCACCGCAGCTCGCCGGCCGTTTCGCAGGACGCGGGCTCCCGGCCCCGCCTCAGCACTGCCGGCCCCCGACCCCTCTGCGCTCACCTTCACCTGGCTCTCGGTCATGCCCAGGGAATACGCAAGCCGCGCTCGCTCAGGGCCTGCCAGGTACTTGGTCTGCTCGAAAGTCTTCTCCAGGGCGAAGATCTGCTGGCCAGAGAAAGTGGGCCGCGAGTGTTTCTTCTTGCCATCCTTGTCCAGGACCCCGCCGGCTTGGGCTGAGAAGAAGAGCGGGTGAGCGCGGTCCGCGGCTCGCGCCCAGCCCCTTGTCCTCACCGGGTCCCGCGCGGGCCACTTACCCGAGCCTGCCAGGCGCGGGTCCCTCCAGGGAGAGCCCTGCACCACCCCGGGCCAGAAGATGGGCGGGCGCCCAGGCAGTTCCGCCAGCGGCTTGGGGTAGCCCCGTGCCACGGCGGCCGCGGGCCCGAAGTAGACACCCGCGGACGAGGCGAGCCCGTTGAGGCGGGGCAGGCCTCCCAGAAGGCCGCCGCCCGCTGCGCCCACCGGCCGTCCCAGGATGTCGCTGATGCCGTGCGGAGTGCCGAGAGGCAACTGCGCGCCAAGGTTGCCCAGGGCGGGCGCCTTGAAGCCGGCCGGACCCTGCAGCGCGTAGGGGAACAGCGACGTCTTCATCTCGGCCATGTTGTGCAGCGCGGCTAGGGGCGCGCTGCTCAGCACGAACGCGCCCGGGCGGTTAGCGTCCATGGGCGCCGCCGCTTCCGACCCGGGCGCCCATCCGGGCCCCGCTGCCACCGCCCGCGCGCGCCGACTCGGGAAGTTTGCGCGCCGCGCCGAAAGGGCGCCCTGCAGCCCCGGGACGCCCCGGTGGAGCGCGCGTTCGGACGGACGCCGACGGCCCCCGGAGGGAAAGCGGAAGGACCGACGGCTGCTTCGCGGAATGGGCGGCGGTCAGAGACGAGGCAGGGATACTAGAGTGGACGGCGGCGGCGGCGGCGGCGGCTCCCGGGCCGGTCGGAGCGGTGCCGCGCGGGACAGACGCACTGATAACCGCGGGGCCTGGGCGCGGCGCGCCTGCTGATTGGCTGTAGGCGCTGGCGCCCAGGCCATTGGCCAACGTCCGGCCCCGTCTGCGCGCGCCCCCGCCGGCCGTGCACTCCATGAAGGGCCCATTAGTCCGGCAGGTGCCTCCGGGGCTGTAAATTTGCCCCCTGATTTATCTCCCCAGAGATGAAATAAATCCCGTTGGATGGGAGTTTAGTTAGGCAAAGGTTTTAATGGGAAAAAATCAGGAAAAAATACGAGAACGTATTTTATCGACCGAAAGAATGTAGATTTCGAGATCCACCTCGCAAGCTCAGTATGCCTAGTTCAGGGAAGAGCCTGGAACGGCTGGAAACCACGGGTCGGGGGCTGGAGGGGGGCCTCCATCCTGGACCGGGGCCAAAGCCTCGCCCTGCGACGCCTTGGCCTCCCTAGCTGGTGGTGGTGCGGGCTGTTGTACTTGTGTGTATCACTTTTCTTTTAGTCGTTTCTGAACGCAAAAGGGGTGGAGTCTAGTGACCAAATAGCTAGATTTGGCTCGCTCGGATCTGCCGAAACTCTCCCCCACCCCGCCTTCAGATAGCTCCCGGGCAATGTCCGGGCAAGGTCAGTGGCCCAAGTACTTCTCCCATAGCCCCGAGGTTTCAAGATCCTTGACTCTGGGTGGAGAGTCTAACAGAGGCCCGGCCTTCGCCTGGAGGGTTTCTGACCGTTAGGCTGAATTTCAGGAGGGAGGTGTCTGAGCCCAGACTTTGAGACCCAGGACCGGGATTCGGTCCTGCCGCGACACTCCGGCCCCGAAAGCAGCGGTCTCGGACCGATACAAGATCCAGGCCGAAACGGCCGCCGTACACAGTGACTTAAGATGGGTGTGCGTGTGCGCTTGCTGTCTAGCGGGCAGAGCGTGGGCTATAGACCGGCCTATGGGACACACTAGGCCCTAATTCCTTTTGTAGTACAGGAGCCTCTCCGTAGAATTGCTGCGGGAGGGGGTGGTAAACAGACAGCAGACTCCGAGGTTTCCCGCTGGAACTTTCTTTCGTCCATTTGGGTGGTGCTTACTGTTAGCCTCATAATACCTAGCGGTGATTGCGATAGGACCTGTGGAAACAGAACCAACTGTTGCCCGCCCCGGGGATCTAGGGAGGGGTCCTCGGTCCTTGTGGGGGTAGTTGGTTGGCAACGACTTTCCCTTTCTGCCCTGGTTTCCGGGGTTTTCGTGGTACACGCGAATGCGATCCGAATGGCTCCAGGTAGGGGCCTAACGTCCATTCCCTCGGATCCTCTTAGAAGTCCGTTTTCGTTTCTTACGGTTAGTGTCGGGGTCTTGCCGCCACGGGTCTCCATCAGGTCAAGGCTTGGAAAGGCCCCTTTATGGCGGGAACTGGAAATAAGTCCTGTGGTAGCACCTGACTGGTGCTCGACCTGCCATCTGCAAGACCAGGCAGGCGCGTGTGACCCTCCCCCATCCTCCCCGTATGCAGTGGCCCCCAGCGCCGGGAGGTTCCACTGTGCTGGCTTCCTAGGCTCAGTCTGCGCTCTCGGGATCGATTTGGGCGCGGCCAGAGAGCAGCGGTAACGGAGCTCGACTCAGAACCCTCTGTCTCGGAGCACACTGCCTGCCCTCTGGACCTCAGACCACTGATTGTCCCCAGAACCTCTGGGCTGCTTTTCTGGAGTCCGTCGACCGGCCCCTGGCCTCCCTTTCGCGCTACTTCGATTACGACGGCGGCGTGTCCTCCGGGGATCTGGCCAACGGGAGGACAGCGCCTGGAATAGTGTGGACTTTTCTGGGCTCGCGGGAGACCATGCGGGAGGCCCGGGGCTCCAGCTCTAGAAAAGAGGGACCCAGAGTGTGAGTAGTGGGGGGGTTGGGCGGGAGAAGGAGGGGCGGGCCGAGTGGGAGGTGCTGAAACCTCCCACCTCACCCCAAGCGGACCCTGAACCGGCGGGGAAGAGGGAGGGTCCTCGGAACAAGTGTTCGGAGAGACAGGGCAGGTACGCCCTGGCTTTTCCCATCCTCGCGGAGCCCGGGTCCGTGGGGCAGGAAGCGTTACCGCAGTTCCGTGCCCGAGCTTTTGGCTGGGCTCACAGGCCTGTCCCCCAGCCTCGTTACATTTGGGGATCCGAAAGATCTTGGGTCGTTGCTCTGCTCCAGCGGCCCCAATCTGTGCATACCCCGTGGGCCCACTCCGGCTGCGTACGAAACCGGCGGAGTCGAGAGAGGGGCCGCGTTCTGTCCCGAACACTCGTTGCCTTGCTCTTCCTGGGATCAGAGACCGGGGTGTGGTGAGGCCAGGGCGGATGAATGACGCTCGCTCGAGTGCCGGCTGAGGGCTGAAGTGAGTTGCGTCGCTTTCTGCGGGTGCTCCGTCCCGGCTAGCGCGCCTGGGACTTTTTCCAACCCTTAAAGTGGCTGGGCACTAAACTGCCTTCCCCCAGTGCAGGCGGCCACGTTAGAGTGGCTAAGCTGCCTCTTTCCCACAGAGTTCCCGCTTGCAAGAGCTCTGCGTCCCCCAGGCTTTACCCTCTGGGTTGGGCCCAAGGGTGGTCCCCCCGCCCCCTACCCCCGCGCTGCAACTGGTCAGAAGGGCGCTAGAATCCCCAGCTCGCCTCCGGAGATGTGATCCCCGGGGGTTCCTTCCCTGTGGCTGTGGAGAAATTCGCCATCTCCTGGTCTTGAAGAAAACGTCTGATGAGGAAGACAGCTGGCAAAACTTAGAACGGGTTGGGAGATCAGTTGTTCGCCAGCCGGCACTTGACTTAGTCTGCGTGTATTTGTTGTGTGCCTAGCGGGCCTGTCCTGGCTGAGTGCCCTGAAGGTAGCTAACTAGGCTTCCAGGCTCCCCAGCCGTTGCGGGAGGGGCGAATGGAACTTAGGTAGCGAGCAGCGTGGGCGGGGAGAATCGGTGACCCACGTACGATGAAAGGATGTTTCCCGGAAGCCGCCTTGTCGGAGGGTTCCTGGGAGGGACAGGTTGTCACCGTGACTTGCAAGCTTGAGAGACACCTAGACACTACGGACACCACAGCTTATGGAAGACGTGAGGTTGAGACCCCAGCCTTGAAACACTTAGCTAGGACTGCTCCAGGGCGGCAGCTGCTTGCTGCCCTGGACGCGCTCGCTCGTCGCGGCAGCCCTTCAGTAGCTTTGTCCTTTTCACAGATGTGAACACTTCCCCAAATGTCTGAGCGGCTCAAAAGACAGCGTTCTAGACTTGGGGCGCATCGGGGAAGGGGGCGTTGCTTTCACCGGCGGTGTGTGTGTGTGCGCGCGCGCGCGCTCAAAACAATCACTGAGTCAGTACAGCGGTCAAACATCCATACAGCATTCATCTGTCTCGGGAAAAAAAAGTAAGGGGTGGGGTACAAAGGCCCTGACGTGAAGATCCCCTAAGCTGGCACCCCGCCCTTCAGGGTTTCTGGGGCTTTTGGGGAGTGCTCTAGGGTTGTTGAAAGCCAACAAAATGAGAAAACCGGTGCCCCTTTCTTCAGCGCCCTCCAGTGTTATACCCAAACCGAAGCAGCCGAGGACTATGTTAACGGACCCCAGGCCTGGCCAGTAGTACTGGGAGAAGGGCCCTGGCCCCAGGGGAGAGGGTGCAGGTCCTCAGGCAGAGGCCTTTTCCTTTCTTCTCCCACCTGCTCAGTTGCTGCCCTGACTCTCATTCCAGTAGAGGCCAGTGTGGACCAGGCCGGAGCCCATGCTGCCCACTCTAGGTCCCTTGCAGACGCAGGGCTCGTGTTCTCTGCACTCTGGGACTGAATAAATTCTATTAAATAAGCAAAATCTATGTCCAAACAATGGGTTTCAAAGGGCTCCGGGAGCTGGGTGGTTATCCACACTTTAATCTCAGCAACCAGGAGGCAGAGACAGGTGGATCTTCATGAGTTCAAGGCCAGCCTGGTCTATATATCAAATATCAGGACAACCAGGGCTAGGGCTACAAACAAGGCAGTGTCTCGAAACAAAAACAAAACAGTATTTGGAAGCTTCCTTTGAAACCTTCCTGCTGCCAATAGTTGTTAAAAGGGAACTGAGGGAGAGGATGGAGAACAGGGAGTTAGCACTCCCCAGCATGGGGTCCTGGTATAAAGCTGAAGCAGGAGGGGAAGCTCCAAGGGAGGAGGGGCTCTGCTGAAATAGCACAACTTGGCACTTGGACTCAAGAACAGTAGGAAGCTAAATGTGGGCTAGAAGGAGGGCCTAAGGCAGGAAGGAAGTTAGCCCTCTGCTTCCTCGACAAGAAGCCACCTCGGCAGTAGGAAGGGCTGGAGGGATCCAGGAGTCAGGGTAGAGTGAGCCCCTGAGTCCAGCCATGGAGGTCAGGGTTTCCTGTCCTTTCCCCCTGACCTTCTGGCTTTGCTGAACTTGGCCAGGCATCTTCTGCCCCATGAGCCTCACCCCACGCTCTATCCCACCTCCTCACCCCAGTTCTCTTCCTTACAAGCCTTTTGCATTTGATATATGCAACAGCTTCAGGGAAATGTAACGAACTGATTTTGTCATCCAGTTTCTTTCATGATTCTGCTGAACCGACTCTGCCTTCTCCAGCATCCAGGATCCTGTTCTGCAGCACCTGTGGCCTGTGGCACATTCTCCCAGCCAGGTGAACTGTGAGGGATGCTGGTCTCTATCACAAGCCTGTCTTCCTATAGCTCTCTGGGGATTAAGATCAATCCAGGCTGTCAGGAGCATTGTCTCCAAAAGGAAGGGTGAGGAGGGGACTGGCTAGGCCCTACTGGTGGTCAGGACAAGTGTGGGAATGCAGGTGGCCTCTTAAGAGTCTGAGCTCTGGCACAGGAGTATCAAAAGGCCTCCTTGTGCTTGGCCTCAGCCCTGCTGGGAGGCATTCATTTCTGTAGTCTCCAAGAATGATGCCGGGCAGACATCATCCACACTGTGGCTGCCTCTGGCTTACACTCACACTGTGGACCATAGTCCTCAGGTCCCTGTGG